CGTCATTTAGAAAATATCACAAAAGTTTTGCGCGAATAGGTAATGGAAACCTACCCGCAATTTGGGAAGTTTGACCCTCTGGCTCTACCTTGGCCCTTCGATCCCTCAGCTGCTCCGTAGTCCGTAATCCCTCTGGCTCCACCAGGCTCTTTCGTCTCTCCAGCTCCATCTTGGTCTGTTGTCCCTCTAGCTCCACCAATGACTTGCGGTAATTTGGCTGTGCTTGGGCCCTCCACCCTTTGGCTCCAGTGGGGTCTTCCCACCCTCCAGCTCCATTGTATTTTCATTCCCATCAGCTCCATTTTGATCCTACGAATCCCCAGCTCCACCTTGGTCCTTCAAGCCTGTGATGTTGCCATGGTCCTCTGTTTCTCTGCCTTGGTCTCTACCTTCTCCAGCTCTGATTTGGTCTTCCGATTCCCCCGGCTCCGCTATGGTCATTGGTCCCCCAGGCTCCACCTTGAATCTTCATCCCTTCACCTCCACCGTGTATATGCTCCTTAAGGAGGGGGCTATGTCACGATCACCGGCTGGAGTGCCCTTGATATACACCAGAGGAGACTTCCCTCATGTTCATTGTCATTCCAACATGGACTAAATTTTCCATTACTTTCTGCCTGGGCTCATCATCCCTGATTTCTGTCAGCTGTATATCCTTAAAGGAGAACTCCGGCGCAAAATTAACCTTTGGTCTAATTACACATTGTTACCTAGTCAACCGTTATCTGAGATTTGATTTCATGATTATCGAATGTAAACAGTTTTATCTCTAAAAACAGTTTAGCCTATAGCGCTAGTATATTGGGTATAGAGTAATGACCAATAAAAATTGCTTGTTAATACCACTAACAAGGCTCAAAATAGCCCCACACTAACACGGTAGCATAATGAGGGTCCCTACCTTTAAACCGAAGCATTGAGAACTTTGTCAGTGTCCAGACAGTTTAATAAGAAGATATTTTATACATACAGTCAACTTTGCGTATACAGGCTGAAGCCATCTTTGAAAAACAGTCTCTACCAGTCGATCTACGAACGCCGATCCAAGTGCGCTGGTGAGATGTGAACGAGCTATAAGTTGTGATAAGGTGAGCGCGAACAGTAGGCTTGGATCGGCGTTCGTAGATCGACGGGTAGAGACTGTTTTTCAAAGATGGCTTCTGCCTGTATACGCGAAGTTGACTGTATGTATAAAATATCTTCTTATTAAACTGTCTGGACACTGACAAAGTTCTCAATGCTTCGGTTTGAAGGTAGGGACCCTCATTATGCTACCGTGTTAGTGTGGGGCTATTTTGAGCCTTGTTAGTGGTATTAACAAGCGATTTGTATTTGTCATTATTCTATGCCCAATATACTAGCGTTATACTAGCGTTATAGGCAAAACTGTTTTTAGAGATAAAACTATTTATATTCGATAATCATGAAAACAAATCTCAGATAACGGTTGACTAGGTAACAATGTGTAATTAGACCAAAGGTTCATTTTGCGCCGGAGTTCTCCTTTAACTGCACACCCGAAGGGGTAATGCGGCCACAACATGGACTGGCCGTTACACCTCGGCTGTGCATTATTTTTCAATAATTCAACGGCCCGAAGTCAATTATTCACCTTATACTACGGTTACCAAACCTCAAAACATTGTTCAGATAATCTATTTGAAGACATTTCTCCGATTTTTGTCCTTTTGACTAATTTCTTACACATCTAATCCCAAGCCCCCAAGCCTCCATTGCTAATGCCAAAATGTCGTTTTAGAGCTAGTAACGGAGGCTTGAGCCACTGATAGCAATGACTAATGCAGTTATTAATTTAGTTATTAGAGGGACAGGGAGAGTTATCAAGCGTGTATGAATTACCTGAGTATTTGCGTCTCTCAACAGTGTTCAACAGCAGCTTCTCTGCTAATAGCGAAACTTTTTTTTATCTGTTCCAAGAATAGTCATTATTAGGCTACATCGCTAGTTAGAAATGTCTTTTAAGTTGTTAAACTATTTTACTGATAAAATCGTCAGAGCAGCGTTGACAAACACGTCCCTGTGTGAGTCTGTGTCCGACTGTCCGTACAGTATGTGTGTTTGAGTGAGAGAGAGAGGGAAAAAGAGAGTTTGTGCTGTTCTTACATTATAAGATGTAATTTTGTGGCAAAAAAACATGAAAATAATTGGTTGTTTTTATCCTATTGTTGACTATATTTATTTGCTTGGTCAGTGTCATTGCGGGATTTGGTTATTTTCTGTTAAAGACCTTTGAAATAACTGAAATAATTTGGCGAATTGATATGGAACTGTAATGCGGTCAAGACCAGCTGGAAGTACTTTAGCCGCGTGTTTTCCTGAAAATAATTGCACACCTTAGAACGATGGTCAACCAATTAGATTCAATCATTCAAAAGCCACGTAGTATAAGACAGAATAATTTATGGCTCCGCATCAACCTCAATGCTTTCGAAGATAGAGTTGATTCAAAACCAAGCCAAAAGAATATTTTGTGAAGCTTTTATATCCTCTCCTGTAACAGCACTGCAGGTAGAAAGGGGAGATGGGAAATGGGAGAAACGCCACTAGCCATTACAAACCATCCAGTTAAATATTGGGGAGTTGTTGGGAATATGAGCAGATAAATCTAAAAAGCTTTGGATGAATGATAGACAAGCAGACCCAACAAACAGCCATTATTAATACCGATATTAGTCCCACAGTGGTTCTGCCAATCTCTCCACATTGGCTCAATACCATCAGTAGACCAGCTGATATTTAAAACGTTAAAGGATAACCAAAAACCATGTTCCAAAGAGACATTAGTACAGCAGTATTTAGGATGGAGAAATATGGTTTTTACAAATATATATACTCAGGTGGTTCTAAAGACCCATACACTGGGCGTACAGCTGCTGCTATGTACATATACCTCATTTTAATAATATATCAGTATATATGCAGCAGAGATGGTCGCTACTCAGATAGCCTTACAGTGGGTGGAAGAAATCCAACCTACAGCTGTAGTCATTTGTTCAGGTTCATAAAAGTTTATTGAGTGGAAAATCAGCATCTAGGCAAGATATATTAATAGAATTAATACAAAGTTTGTGTAGAATATGCCAACTGAGAATTATAGCAGTATTTAGTGCCACTGCCAGCTCATGTTGGAGTGAAGGGGAATGAGGAGGTGGACAGGATAGCTAAACGGCATACTGCAATCGTTATAAACATATACACTCAATTTCTTTAAGCCTTTTTTCAAGATTTACTCATTTCAATTAATAGTAAAATTCCATTAAATTGAATAATCCTTACATGTTATTTATATTATGAATTAAGAATTTTAAATGAGTAAAAAATAATTGTTTAAATCTTAAATTTAAGCATTTTAATTTTTTTATGAATAAGAATCACATTAAATGGTTTATACAAAATGTTTTACTAACCTTTATTAATTGTTTTACTCTTTCTATTCTTAATTCATAATATGATTCAAATAGGGATTATTCAGTTCAATTTGATGGAATTTTACTATTAACTGAAATGCGTAAATCTTGAAAAAAGGCTTCTTTTTTTTAGTGTACCTTGAGTAAATCAGAAGTGAAAGGTTTTAGCAAGAGAGATGGGATAAAGGAAATAAAGGACGACATAATGTACTATAAAACAAGTTGGTCATGAAATAGTTGGTTATGGCTACAGAAGGGATGATGCAATATTATCTCTGCTGCGAATTGGACACTCTGTTTTAATAAATCACATCAGATGATAGGAAAACATGAAAGGTAAATAAATGTGGACTTCCAGAAACCATAGAGCATACGCTGATAACTGTATGGGATATGAAAGAGCGTTAATAATTAAAATATGCCCGCATACATTATTTGACTATAGAATATGATAAACAGTTCTTATAAAGGTTATAAAGCTCTTTTAAGTTTCTTGAAAGTAAAGTTGTAAAAAATTTAGGTAGGCCTATGGCTATTTTAAAATTTGTTTTATTGTTTCTTCCTCGATATCATCGCATCACACTCCATCCCAGTAGATGGCGGAATACGGACCAAAAGCAGGTTTGCCTAGCGCCATAAAACATCAAAGAAGAAGAAGAACAACAACAACAACAAGAGAACTCGGGACTCGGCTTGAACGGAGCATTTGGTATGTGTCGGATCTGGTATCGTTAAGGTATTGTTATCTAGGAGTCATTTTAATGTCTTATACATCTCTCTGTTGCTGAAGTGGACTCAGTGGTGCCTGAAAATCGCATTGATGTATTGAGGGAACTCTGGTTGGGGAGTCAGAGAGCATTTGAAGATGTTTTCAATCTCAGTGTGTTCAGTGACTCAAAGAGTTTACGAATTCACTGACTACCTCAATTTAAATTCAATTTTAACTCCTGCAGTGAGTTAATATTGCAGTGTGCACGTGACTGTTGGTCCTCTTGGCAGCAGGAAAAATAAGACTTTTATGCAAATAGTGAATAACGTTAGATCATGCACGGAAGCAAAGAGTGGTTTAAAAATTCTGTAAAGCGGTTAGAAATTCAGATTTCTGTGGCTTTAAGTCATAGTACAGTGACCGGGAGGCGACATGTTCGGTTCACTTAATGTTTTTGTGGCCACGAGATATTAATTCGTGGTAACGTGATATTATGTTGTGGCCAAGAGATCATTTTGTCGAGGTTACGACATAGCTTCCCTATGTCCTACTCACTCCAAAGGGCAGACATTTATAATGACGTTTTTTAAAGGGGTCATCAATTGATAAGTAAAATGTTCATCATATTAAAAGAATATCATGTAAGTTTCAATCTGAAAACTTCCTTGTTAGTCCAAAATCAGCTTTTATTGAAACCAATAGCCCAGAAAATGGCTAGTTTAGAAATGTCTAGAAATGTCTATTATGATGTCATAGATAGGTCTGCAGAAGATCATCGTTACCACTGTAGCCCCGCCCACTGATTAACGCATGATAAGTAGCTAGTAGGTGAATAACTTTTTCTCTCTCTTTTTTTTTTAGGTAAATAACATGTGACGCTAACACAGGATCGGTCAACTACCCTAAGCAATAAACATGCCTTTGAAGATTGCAAAATATTGTGCAGTGCCAAGCTGTAGAAAAACCCAGTCGTTGCATAACCTTCCTTCTGATTCAAACACCAGGAATGCGTGGTTGAACTTTGTTTTTAATGAAGTTCCAGATCACGTGAATAAGACACTGTGCGTTTGTTCGCTTCATTTCGCTGCGGATTCCTTTGCAAACAAGAAACAGTTCGACGCTGGATTTGCAGAGAGAGTGAGATTAAAAAACGGTGCTGTGCCTTCTATATTGGATCCGACAAAAACGGCGCAACACACTTATGTGAGTAAAAAAAGCTTTTACTGTGTCACTATTGCTTTCTTTGTTACAGATCGTTTGATATGCACTGATTGTGTATGTGTTAAACCAAAATCACCAGTCATCAGTAATTTGATTGCTGTAAATGAATGATGAAAATAATATTTTATTTAATCTGTGTGATTATGTGAATTTGAGAACTTGTCCAATAAATATTCATACTAGTACACAAAAATGTACACTCACAGCTCCAATGTGAAAACCTGTCAAATAAAAATCTGAAGTTGAATGTTGAAATTTGCACTCGCAGACAATAGTCACAAACCTGTATTCTGAATTTGAAGCTGCAGACAAGTAGTCACAAATGTGTAAAATGCCATTCACAGAAATACAATGACAGACACAAACTTTTATAATTTGCACTTATTCTTACATTCATATTCACAGTACGACCTCAATTAGGCACTTGCAACTTATCAAATCTGTCATTGTAATTTCAAATTTCGCGTCTTGACCTTTGCTACTATTTTCACGATGCTTAATGCAACAGTGATATTAAAAGAAATAAATGATATTATCAAACTCAGTAAACACCATACTAGCATAGCTTACTATGTACAGAAAAGCAGATTAGCCCAGAATATGACGAAAGCAAATTTGTGTTCAGTGCAAATAAACCTACTGCCTGTGTTTTATTAATAATGTAGGCCTATAACGAATTGTTTTTATTTAAATTTTTATAACTGTTGGGCCATTAAGCCTCAAGCGTTTTCTTTGTTTTCTATGGGAGGAAAATGCTTAACGTACAATTAAACGCGTTGCGTTAATTTTCTGTGCTCATTTGCTTTTCTGTACGCTTTATTTGTATGGTGTTTTCTGAGTTTGGTCTTTTAATACCACTGTCTTAATCGCATTGCGTTCATATTCTGGGCTCATCTGCTTTTCTGTACATAGTAGTATGCATTATTAGTAGAGGTGGGAGAAAAAATCGATACAGCATAGTATCGCGATATTTTCGGTGGCAATACTGTATCGATAAACGGGCGCCAAGTATCGATCTTTTATTATTTAAATTAGCTACACATGAGAATTTAACTTTGGTAGTAGAGTGCGTGTCTGCGTGAGTGTTCAGCGGTGCCGCGTCTTCTATCTCTTCTCTCAAAATGTGTTGTGCAAGGCAAGCATCAAGCGCTGCGGCGACACACTCGCGTTTAGGAGACGGGACATGACGGAATATTCACTTGCACAATCGGGCCAGCTGTGCATCGTGACTGAAGTTTACCATTTGCACGTCTTTTTAAGTCTTACCAGTTTAAACATTCAAGCGATTTTAAACTAATCAGTGTTTGCGCGCTCTGAGATTATTTTCTATGCGCACATTCATAGAGAATCCGCCTCAAAAACAGCTGGCCAGTAACAAATGTTATTTTTCGCGGATTGTATTGCTTTAACACGCAAAATTGTGAAAAAATTTCGGTCTTCGTGAGTATACTCTAAACATAGTCGGTTTTGTCTTTAATAAGCATAAAACGCATGTGACAGTATAATGAACACAGGATCCGTGCACTAACTCTTAAAGTGACGGCAGCCATATGTGTCTGTCATTAATTTTGTTGTCAAAAAACAAAAACAAAAGATAGCTTTAAGTTAAAGGAATCAGGATTAATAGCCTATGTATTTAATTTAGTCAGGACTAAAATACTACCCAGTGTTACTATCTGGGTAGTATACAGTGTTGTATATCCATTTGATTACATTATTCAGTTTCTGTATTTATGAATACTAGTGTTAGACCTATTCAAAAACTTTTCTCTTTATTTGTCATTATTTGTATCTTTATTCCATTGTATTTATTTGTGCTACTTTTTTCAATTTAATTAAACAATTTAAATCAAGCATCCTTGTGTTGTGTAAATTCTTAACAATATTACCCCCATTGTAAAAATTGCAATGAGCGCAAACATTCAGGCGATATAAATGTAATAATTTTGTTTGGAAAAAATGCAAAAATTGAAGTTGAAAAAAGGTAATAAATTGCAATATATTGCAGAATATCGCAATATGTTTAAAATCGCAATAATATCGTATCGTGACCTAAGTATCGGGATAATATCGTATCGTGGTACCTCTGGTGATTCCCACCCCTAATTATTAGTATGGTGTTTGTTTACCGAGTTTTATAATATCATTTATTTCTTTTAATATCACTCTAATGCATTAAGCCATGTTAGCATTTCAGAACGTCCCCTTGAGGACGCGGGTTTCGTGACATCATCGCGTACAATAGAAGTCCCATTTCATTGGCTAGGCACCAACCAATAAAACGGCTCCTTTGAACACCCCCGCCCCCCTTTCTCTCTCGCCGCCACTGAGTTGCAAGTGCACAAGTTAGTTTTGCATCTAATATATCGTGAAAATAGTAGCAAAAATGAAAATCAGGTGCGAATTTTGAAATTGCAGTGACAGATTTGGTAAGTTGTAAGTGCCTATTTGAGGTTGTACTGCGAATGTGAATGAAAGAATAAGTGCAACTATGTACTACAAGTTTGTGTCTGTTGTTGTATTTCTGTGAATGGCATTTTACACATATTTGTGACTACTTGTCGGGGGCTTCAAATTCAGAATACAGGTTTGTGACTATTGTCTGCGAGGAGGGCTGAGCGATATGGCCTAAAAAAAAATCCCAGATTTTTTCACAAAAAAATCAGATTTATGATTTAAATCGATTTTTCCCTCCCTACTTAAAATCAATCTGCAGATGACAAAGAAATTGTTCAAAACGAGTTTTAACTTTTGTTTTGATATTCCCTTCTGGGATTTGATCTGGATTCCCCCCTTGGGGTTAAAGTGCTATATCAGAAACAACAAGCCCAGAAGACAAGATGACAAGCCCTGTCTTTGTAAACAGTGAAAATGTAACATAACATAAAATAGTTGGATTGGGATTGGGGGAATGTGTAAAAAAAGAAAAGAAAAACTTGCATCACAATAAGTGTATTGTGATTGTCAAAACATTTGGTAACTAAACATAATTTTATTAAGTTTATAACCATGTAAACACAACTGAGCTGTTTGGACTGTCTAGGATGTTTTACATATTAGAATTACTGGCATGCTACTGTTTTTATTATTGCTTGACACAAATTTCACAATTTCAATTCTTGTGATTTGATTCTGATCTTGATTCAATATCTATTAATTTGAATAAATATTGGGTACAGTAGATGCGTTAATGTGTTGTTAATTGTTAAAAAAAAAATCACCTAATGCTGTAAACATATAGAGGAAAATGGATGTGTGGCGTGAGAGCGTGTATAAAGTGACAATTTCGTGAGTCTCTCACAATGAATTCGTGAGTTGGCAGCCCTGCAGATTCAGTTTGTAAATGTTTTCGGCGGGTGGGCTTGTGCTGCCGCAGTCTTGTTCATTTGCCATGTTGTTTAAACTACACATTCAATGTATTGTAAATGATTGCATAAACTATTGCATAAAATAGTAGATTATCTATTTTGAACAGTATGACAAAATGTTTCTTCTAGACTCTATGTTTATGGGAAAATGTGTGAAGTGTTGTACTGTATCATGTGAGTTTGTCCCTCCCCATGGGGTAATGGTGCTGGCCGCCAGTATAAATGTGCTCATCTGTGTTTAATGGAGTTAGTCTGTGTTGATTTCTGCAATGGAGTATTTTTTACTTTGTTGATTTGTCTTATTTGGTGTTATTTTTGAAAAATTTGCATTTGGCATTATTCCTTTTGAATCTAATTTTGATGTTTTGGATAAGATTTTTCCTTTTTTTTATTTCTCCATTAATGTTATATATTTGGGGTAGGATTTTTCATGATTTTGCACGTGCATGTTTGGGTCTGTCATAATACATAACATTAATGAGAACACCATTTTAATAAATCGTTGTGAATTGATCGGGTTTAGACGCGTTGTTCCAGGAAGAGCAGAAGTACACAGTCTGACAAGCACGCATTTGAGGCGGTGTTGGTGACATGTTGTATTAGTCGTTATATTTGATTATTAAATAAGTAATTTAATGCTATTTTTCCCGCAGTGCTGAATGAGAAGAGCCATATATGTCTCTGGAACCACAGCCTACAGAAAGGTGATTTATAGGCGAGTTATAGGCTAATGATAATAAATGTGTCTGAAAAAATAACGACGTTTATTAATAAACTATTGTTTTCTAAATCAGTGTCGGCTAAAACATATCTCCATCTCCGCTGTAAGGCGGATGCACCTTTAGAGAGAAATGCACCTTTCATACGGATTACATAATCAGAAGATAATAAGCTTTCGATTCGAATTTGTTCATTTTAAAGTGGACATTTCAAGCTTTAGCATAGGCTATATTTTGTTTCAGTTCTCGCGCTCCAGTTCATCATAAAATATTATTATTTGCGTGCGTACACCGACCCCAAACACACTGCGTCTTCAAAGTCAAGTGACTGTAAATGTGCAAAAACTGTTTCCATCCAGTTTTGTGAAATATTCCTTTTTCGAATTGCCTGAAAAACCTCCTCATGCGAGCGTAAAAACTTTTTTGCGATAAATGGGAGTTTTTGCGAAATTGACGTGTTTCCTTTGAGCGTATTTTCAATTCGCAATTTGAAGGGTAATGGAAACGCGGCTAACAGCGCAAGTTTATAGTTCTGGACTCAATACTCAGGAAACGCATTGAATCTGAGAGTAGTGTTGTCAAGTCAAGTCATCTTCATTTATATAGCGCTTTTAACAATGTAGATTGTTCCAAAGCTGCTTTACAGTGATAATAGGAAATCAAAGCAACAGAGATTGATTTGGCTTTATGACAGCTCTAGAATAAAGTTATTTTCCAGCTAAAGTTAGTTTTAATTGATTCACTTCCGTCGCAACGATCATTTTAATCGTTTTACCTACTGTTTGGTTAACTTAAGTGCCGCTAACACGACACCGTTTTAACAGAAAACTCTTTAAGTTCTCTCTACGCAAACTTTAAAAACTCGAACCTGTGAGAACGCTGATGGCGTGCACCTGCACAATAAGAGTTCATTCTATAGGTATGCGCGTTTGATTATGTGCGCAGGCATGTAGTCCTTCGCTAAAAAAACAACCCTCAACAAATAGGGATGCATGATGATATCGGGACATCGGTATCGGCCGATAAAAGCTTAAAATGACCATTATCGGCATCGGCAGATATGAATATTACATTACTGCCGATGAGCCTTGCCGATAGGGTGGGGTGTTTCCTATGCGCACGTGACGACCGTGAACGAAGCATGAGCGCCAGCAACTTAAACTTCCAACTAGGGGTGTATGATAATCACGGTTTTTGGACGATTAAAATGTCTCCACGATCTGCTTTTGAAGAAAAATCATAGTATCGTGCATTCTATCAGTTCAATTCTGGCGCCTTCATCTCAACATACTGTACAACGCGACGTACATTCACATCACATCACATGTAAACGCAGAGGTAGAGTTACACTCACGGGACACTGCAATTCACAAAAGTTCATTATTTGCATGTGCGTCAAAATCTTGCTACTTTAAACATCTCATTCACGTGCTGATGAGCTGTTCTAACATGCTCTTTTCTGAGCGCGTATACACGACGCTCACAGGAACTAAAAAAGCCTGTCACAGTGCCTGCATACTGGACTTATTGTGCTGATACTGTCAAATACACACAAGTTTTACATAAACAAAGTTGGTTATGTCTAAAGTGAAAGCAAACAGAGGAAATCTGTTTGTCAAATCTGTTTGCGTGCAGCTCTTAAAGAGACAGTATCTATAATATGCTGCCGCTTGTCCTTAAAGAGAGACTGCACCCAGAAATCAAAATTCTGTCATTATTTACTCACTCCGGCTAGTCCAAAACTATTTAAAAGGTCCATTTCGTCCTTGGGCCGTAGGGATTCGGACGGGGCAGTTCGGCCTTCGTCCTGGGTGGGGCGCCACACCTGACCCGTCCCACTAACCCACTATTTGTCCGTTTGACCACTGTTTTGGGCAGACCCCCCACCCCGCCCCCATTCCACGAACCCACTATTTGTCAAATAACCCACTATATTTATCAAACGTCCCAGGACCACCCCCCCACTCCGAGGCCACGCCCCATCCCACGAACCCACTATTTGTCCAATAACCCACTATTTGTCCAATAACCCACTATATTTACCAAACGTCCCGGGTATCTTGGGAGTGGAGCCGAGTTGGAGCTCCAAACTCCGGGTGTGAGGAGGGCCCATTGGGTCCCTTCAGACCCCACCGTCCCCAGCTCCTGGGACCTTCCGTTTCCGAGATACGGCCACTTCCTTTCCAGCTTTGACCGGGTGTATCTCGGGAACCAAGCCGAGTTTGAGCTCCAAACTCCGGGTGTGGGGAGGGCCCATGGGTCCCCTTCAGACCCCACCGTCCCCAGCTCCTAGGTCCTTCCGGTTCCGAGATACGGCCACTTCCTGTCAAGCTTTGACCCGGTGTATCTCGGAAACCACGTCGACTTGGAGCTCCAAACTCTGGGTGTGTGGAGGTACCCATGGGCCCCCCATGACCCCAGAGTATGGAGCCCAAAGTCGGCTTGGTTCCTGAGTTATGCCCTGTCAAAAATGGACCTGGTGTATCTCGGGAACTAAGCCGGGTAGAGCCACTGTCCGCGAAGCCTCTATTTAGTACAATGGAATAAATTCTACGTGGGATCATCCCACGAAGCCACTATTTGTCCAATAACCCACTATATTTTTTAAATGATTTTCCCGCCATACATTAAAATAAGCTGCAAATGGACACAATCCCACGTGCAATCTATTGAATGGGGATTCAGACAGTTTCTTTGATAGACATTTTTTAAAAGTTCCATTCTTGATAAAAAAAACTATTTTACTGCACTCAGGGGGCTCCCCTGAGTCCGTAGCACCAAGTCCCATCCCACAATTCCACCGTCCACGAACCCACTATAGAAATGCACTTTTTAAGCTCTAGCTCTGGCCCCTGGGGGGCCACGAGGTCGTGGGTGGTCTCCCCGGAAAGGTCTCAACCCGTTCTTCAAATTTGGTGTCCCTAGGAACCAGTGGGGCTTCATAAAAAATTAATACGTTGCTGCTCCTTTGTCATTTTCATTAGAAATCAGACCCACTCACTGTTCTCAAGTTGTGTGAAAGCAAGTGCTCATTACAAAGCACAGATGACAATTTTTTAACCCATTAAAGACAAGAACACAATGGACACACACACCGAAAGGAAAGAACAATAAAACTTTATTTTAAAAAAAAGGTCAAAACTAATAAAAATCAGAAAAAAAATTGGGGATGAGATCTTCTGAAAAACAAAACATCGTTTTAGTGGAACGCTTATCGAGTAACCGCAGCAACATTATGAATTGTGATGACAAACGGACTCTTACCCATGTCCACCTCCCGCTCCTGTGCCAGCGCTGTGGCCCCGACGGTGGTCAGCTCCGCCCGGCTCGGAGTGTTTTCTTCTGAAAAACAAAGCGTCAATTTAGTGGACCACTCGTGGATTATGTGCAGCGCTATTAGAACCGTGATGACACGGGGGATTCATACCTGTGGTGGCCTCCAGGTCATCGGGGATCCACAGCGCTGGTGCCGGATCGAACCCGGAAAAGAGCTCATCTGAAAGACGAACCGTCGGTTTTAGTTGTCAACAATCATTAACAATCATCGATGATCACTGATATCAGGATCGTGACGATCCATGGATTCATACCGATGACGTCCTGGATGTAATCGTGCCCAGAATCGGATGGCGAGACCTGAGGCAGTGCCGGCTCCGTGGACCGGGCCTTGTCCCAGGAGGCTTCGGCCTGGAAGAAGTCGGGGACCATCATGGGTATGGCTGGGTTGCTGTCCCGCAGCGCCTGAAGCTTCCCCACGGTCACCGACTTCTCCAACGCCCTCAACCTCGAGGTGGTCTGAAACGTAGAAAAACACACGATGGCATTCGTTAAACCAACAACAAACAGACGGGTGTATCACACACCGATTTAAAACACGGGGTCAGTTTTAACGCCGACTTACCGTCAGGTCCCGGTGGCCCTTGAGGAGATGTTTCTCCGGGTACCTGGCGACCTTGCTGGAGAGCAAACAGGCCAAGTCCGTAAGCTTAACTCTGTGGCAGGCATATTTTATAATTATGGCCCTCTGCTCGAGGTTGAGCATGGCGTGGGCGCCCCTCAGGTGCTCGCTGAGGTACGCCACCCGAGCTGAGCACATTGGGCATTGAACACCTGTGAGAAAAAATTTGCCAAAAAAGTCAAAACAAACACACACTCACACAGCTTATGACACAAAACTGATGTGTAACAAACCATTTGTAACATTTTTCCACGGACGACGTCAACTTACTCTTTCTGAAACGTTTCATCATCTTTAAAGGATGAAAATAACACACTTGAATCAGCTAAAATCATTAAAGACAATTCAATCAAAAAAAATGACAGCCCTTCGGGGGAACTTGGCCTTAAATAACTTCCCTGGACTGATCAATTTAGGCCCGAAAAAGAAACTAAACAGTCATGCACGTGTTACAAAGCAAAAGAGCTGATTATAAGAACTGATTATAAATTAACACAAAAACTGATTACAAAAGAACTGATTATAAGAACTGATTATAAATTAACACAAAACTGATTACAAAAGAACTGATTATAAGAACTGATTATAAATTAACACAAAAACTGATTAGAAGAACTGATTATAAATTAACACAAAAACTGATTAAAATTTAACAAACTTTTTTTTTTAAAACTATTGGTCGGCTTCCGCTCCCTCTTTGCCCCGGCCTTTAGGATTGCCGTCCTGTGGACCGCCGACCAAAGCAGCTTCTGGGCCACTTTGTGCGGGGACTTCATTGGCAACAGCCGGACCACGGGACGCCGACGGCGCTTGGCCGGGCTGGACTGGGCCTGCAAAGAGCGAGAGGGGAAAGAAGAATGAGCAAACACGCCAAACACTCGCCAGACAAACGTTTAAAAAGACCCGCCAAAAGTCAGACTCACCGAAGTGGACGGTTTCCCCTCATCCTTGTCCGGGTCCGGGGGGCTGGCGGAGGGGGCCGGTTTCTTCCGTGCCGGTCTCTTCCGTGCCCTCCTGGGCGCCTTGGGACGGGAGGAGGTGGTGGGGCGCTCTGGGGTCCCCGGGGGGGCATCCTCACCCTCCACGGCTGCCTCGAACAGCGCCCGCTGTTCCAAGGCCTGCTTCGCATCCAAGTTCAGGGAGTAGAACTTGTCAGCCGTGGAGGTGTCGTGGCACATGAATCGTGCCACTTTGTGCCTGTCCCCGGGGCTGTGGGTGTTCTTGGCCTGTTCAGAGAGAAAAGCACAGTTGGAAACAAACACGCTTACGTCACAAGTTCACAAGGCAGAAAAACACGGGCTGGAAAACTCACGTGGGTTGCGATGGAGGTCCTCACGTCCGTGAATGTTGGAGTTCCCGGCAGGTCTAGCCCAGCCCATGCCTCCTGAAAGTATTGGTTCAGGTTCTTGCACGGGCTGGACTTTGACGTGAAGAAAAAGTAGTGAGCGTCGGCACCGCCCACTAGCTCTTCCCTCATGGCCAGGAACTCCGTCATCCAGGCGTACTCCCTATCGGTCACGGCCAGCTGAGCGGCCCCGAACGCCTGGTTGGTCTTGTGGGTGGATATCTGTGGAAACAGCAACAAACGAGCGGCGTAAGAGAAGGACAGAGACACATAAAGAAAGAGAGAGAGAGAACATTTAACATTCAACTCACATTAATCGCATAGCACCCGTCCATGGCGGCCTGGCGCGCTGCCTCCACCTCCCCAATGGTCATGTTTTGGAACACCCCACTGCGATGCCCGTAGATGCAGGCTAGGTACACGGTGAGGTGCCCATAAAACGACCACTGGTCCTTCCTGTCAAGGGTCACCTTCAGACGGGCTGTGAAAAAACAACAAAAAAAGTGTTAAAACAGAGTGCTACGCAAAGGTTTAAGAGGTAAGAGGAGGCAAAAACTTACCAAGGATTTCAGGTATGGCGGCCTTGGGGATCAAGTGGCCCTCCTTGGCCTGTTTGACCCCCACTTCATGGATGACCACTCTCCGCCGAACCGAGCGGATGAGACTCTTGATCTCCCGGTTCAGGCCGACCATCACGGTGCGGGAGAGGCGGCAGTTGGGCGGCGGGGTCTCCGTGACGTATGCCAGGAATTGCGAGACATTTTTAAGGTACATTTGGATCATCGGCTCCGCGATCTTGGCCTGGTTCAAGGACTGGTGCCAAGACCGCATCCTCGCCGTCTGATTTAAAAATGTCAAGCTGGCCAGGTCGGTGTGCCCCGCCACCATAAATGCGATAAAAAAATGTTACCTAAAGAGCTTCGACCCCACGTTGTTCACCAGCCTGGGAGTGGGGTCGGCGCCCTCCTGGTGGCCACGGAACTCCTCGAGCAGGACGTCTGCAAAAAGAGAGAAAACACACAACAACATACAGGGTCAGAACAAAAACACGGGGGTCAGAAAACACTGTCCGCAGAGGGAGAAGCCACAAAGTAATAATAATAATAATAATACATTTATTTAAAAAAAGCATTTAAAAGTTGCTTTCTCAAAGCGCTTTAGAGACAAACATAACAACAGAAAAGCTACACACTTTAAACAAAAAAAAAAAAGAAAGTAAAATAAATAATCAGGTAAAAGCAATCCTAAAATAAAATAAAAAGTACTCACTCAGAGCTGGCACGTGGTCCGGGAAAGGGTGCCTCTCCTGCTGCGGAGGTTGCTGGGCAGGGGCGAGAGGCTGGGGGACCTCGCCGGCCGGCTCCTCCGAAGGCCCGGCGCAGGGCTCTTCTTCCTCCTCCTCCTCCCCGCCATCTCCCTTCTCGGGAAAGCGGAGGGCAGACATTAGTCTCCCCGTCACCCTGGCTACCTGGTAGGAGGGGGTTGGCCTCGACCTCCTCTTCAGGCGCTTGTAGCGGCGGGTGAGTTCCTGCAGCGCCTTGCTGATCGTGTCGACCTGGAGGTGCATGTCCGCCAACTGGTCCCTGACGCACAGGCAGGCGGGGTTGGCGCAGGGCAAAGCAGGGGCCTCCACCACCTCCTCCTTCTCGTCCTCCTCCACAGACCCCGAGACGTCTTCCTGGTCCAGAGTGGAGGCCAGCGGCACTGTTGGGTTACTCGCCCTCAGCTTGGCGAGGTCCTCCATGATTCTCCTCCTCTTAATGGAAGCCATCGTCTACCGCCGAGTCGAGGCTGTGAGCTCGCTGTGGCACTTCAGGTGGCGGTCCATCTGGGAGGTGGACTTACCACAGGCGGGCACCGGGCAAGTGCCCTTCCGGACATCCACCCTCCCAGAAGAAAGTGCCAGCAGCAGCTTCCTCTCCTCCTTGTTCCTGACGAGGTGGCTGGTGGTCAGGTGCTGGCTGAGCTGAGCTGATGGTACGAGCGGGAGCAGATCGGGCAGTCTTCAATCGCCATGTCGAGTTTTTGCGGTAAAGACTGACTCCTGCAGGGCTCTTTTATACTGTTTTTGAGGCCACTTTCAACTCAAGGACTGTCCAAAGTGGCCTGGGAGTGGTCGTCCAATCAGCAGGCAGTCTTTTGAGGCCACTTTCAACTCAAGGACTGTCCAAAGTGGACTGGAAAAGGTTGTCAAATCAGCAGGGGGTTTTTAGGCCACTTTCAACTCAAGGACTGTCCAAAGTGGACTGAGTGTATGGGCGGGGGAGAGGCGTTTTTTGAGGCTAATAATACATCATTTATGGTTGTAATGTACATCAATGTTTGGATTTTAATTAAAATACAATGATCAAAACTAGTGTGATGTGTTCAATAGAATGTACTTTGTACAGTAGAGGTGGTTTAATCAACAACAACAACAAAAGAAACCTCATTTGTACCACTGAGTCCCACTGAGTCTTGTTAAACACGTTTCATTAAAATAAAAGCTTAAAAACCACTTTGTCCACGAAGCCACGATTTGTCCCGCCAGACAAAGATGCTTTTCAGGTGTCTCACACAAGGCAGTGTGAAGCCAAGGAGAGCCCCTTCACCCACTGAGGTCTGTCCAGACAACCGCACCGCTGGAGGTGACAGGATTGGTCAAGAAGGGACAAGGCCGTCTAATTTGATCCAATGGCGGCATTCAAATTAGCGGTGAAGGTCTCACGCGTGTTCCGTCTCTTCCCATGGCAAAGGGATTTTTAATTAAATGCAATACATTTTATCTTATGTATTAACTCCATAAAATGAAAAAGGTTTCTCAATTATATCTGTGCATCATTAGATATACATTAATGTTTGACTATTCCTTTTAACAATTTATTATGTCAGGTAAATGTATTATTACAATTTCATAAGCAATTGAAAGATAATCAATGCAAACCATCAAATGTTCTAGAACAAAGAGGAAAATCTTTTACCCGACATTATGAAATACATGAATGCTGAGTCTCGGCGACTCAGCATCCACGGGCTGATCTGAGATACAGAAAATAGCCCTGATCTTCTAGCTGCATTTCCTTATATACCCAGACCTCATTTCATATGTAAACCTGAGTTCACCCCCTGGGGGCAGAAGTTGATTTACATGGTACCATTTGCTAACAGTGGAAATTAGCATTGAGTTCACACCTTCTGAGAGCAGGAGGGTTTACCCATCCACCCTCCTTTGTGTGTATGTTATCTAAAAAACTCTTAAAAACCTTATTACCTTTGTTTTACTTATTTGGAAATAGGACATTCATACCAGACACACTTGTAGACATATCAAATAATACTAAACACATGTATAAAACTATGATGGTTGTTCAAATTTAAACCATATAGATTCTTGTGTGAGTTTGGATGATCTCTGCAAGAGTGGGGGATGCAGGGAAGAAGTGTGTGTGTGAGAGTTCAAATGTTAATTTGCCAAGGTTCTTCGTCTCATAGACCTGTGGTCAGGTCTATCTCTTCAACCAGTTTTCCAGTCTTACAGAGCCCTAATATCTAATCATAGTAGCTGAGGAGCCAGACAAGCACACAAGTTATTTTTAAATTACCTTCATCAACTCAGCCCAGTCTTTGGCAAGGAATGGCATCACTGGCTCATCCGTCGGGTACCTCTTCAAGAAGGGCTCAAAGGTACGGGCGATGGTCGTGAAAAAATGCAACTTTGCTAAGATCAGGGGATCCTTTTGAGCGGCCTCTATTGTGTTGTACGAGCCTGTACCAGGGTTTGGCAGCTCCTTTCTTTTTACCGCATCCATATACAGCTGAAGTGAAGGCCAGACCTCCAGAGCTCTCTCTACCACAGGCAGGTTCTCCAACCATCGATGGCCACAGAATGATAGCGGGAACACTGATGACTTTGTGACTGTCACATAGTCTTCCCTCCTCGCTGGAACATTGTTGAAGAGAGTGTGCATTGATCTTAATAGCTTTTCCACCTGCCACATGGAGAAACCTGCCTTGAAAGCGTTGTGCAGAGTATGAAGCCCACAGCTCCCCACGGACACCAGCTGAGCACCCCCATACATTTCATGCATGTCGGATTGGAGAAGCTCAAAGAACTTAAAATTTACATTGGGCCCATCCATCGATACAGAGACCAGCCTGCTGAGATTCAGCTGCTGCACACACTCTTTGAGGGAAAACAATAAAAAGATGAGGATAAATAAATAAACCACTTAATTGATAACATACACACATGCACATGCACACACAGTTTTGCACTTTTCTAGTTCAAGTTCAAGCAAGTATCACCATGTTTGACTAGGCCTACATGTCTGTTTCTATCAAGTTATCCATGTGGGCTGTTTCTGAAAATACACCCACGCCATGCAAGTGATGAAACAAATTAAACGATTTTTAAATTTAGATTATATTGGGCTAGTTCGTTTTCTATTTTCTCAAAACAGTATGGCTAGAGTGGTGCAGAGTAGAGACCATTACATGATATAACGGTGTCGCTACTCTCCAAATTAGTTTGAATGAATGGATCAAACACATGTTTTAGGCTATTCATAGACGTAGATTTGCAGATAAAATTATTTCAAATATTACATGCAGCATTAGAAATCATATTTGTTTAAATATTAAACGTTAATTACTTACTTTAAAGTGCTTTAGCAAATCCTGGGCCGTGGCATGGCCAATGAAGTGTGATCCCAGGTACCGGGAATGCACCTTGTCGTCATTCCAGAACCGAACGTGTATGTCCAGCTGTTTCTTCTTGCTTATGTGATTTAAGCTTTCAACGAACATGAGAACATAAGGCCCCAAGACCTTGGAGACGAGGTCTTTTTTAATATACTCTGCCAAGCCAAACAAGACCTTGGAGACGAGGTCTTTTTTAATATACTCTGCCAAGCCAAACCGGGTGATGTATGAGTTCTTATCTTTCCCGCACGTAAAGGTTTTGGCTATGTCAGAGTCTGGGAACATTGTTTGGAAAAGTTCGGCAATACCTTCGTTCCCGTTGTACGACTGGTGTTTGGTCACGGTATTCAACACCCACAGGACCTCCGCTTTCAGTGTAGAGGTTGATCCGAAACCACTGTGTCTGTGTGCAGCACTGGATGCGAAAGAAACGGAATCCAGCGTTGTACTTGGATCGGGTAACGTTAGTGACGGAGCCGAACAAAACTGACTGATTGCCTGCACCCGCTGCAGGCCTTTTACAGCAATGCTTTTCAGACTTAGCATGCGATTTTAAGGCTTTTATGCCTAAACTAGACAGCTCCAACGCCTTCTTACACAGTGTGCAATAGGCTTGATAACGATTGTTTGTGACGGGCTTGAGCCAACTACTAAATGCACTGTCTTCGAGCCATTGATCGTTAAATGTACACTTTCCCATTATCATAGCCCGGACGATTTCAGTTAAACTAAGCAGCGAGTGACAGTACAGTTTGGAGTTCGCGCGGGTTTCTGAAAGTCCTTCCGACAAGTCTGTTTGCTGCACTGCCGCATGGACCTTGTAGTTCTGAAATGCTGTGATACCACCCAGATTCCTCAGAAAGAACTACAACAGGCGAAACGAATGAATGCCGGGGGGAAAGG